CATTATATTTTTATTATGGCTATTGTTAGTTTGTTGACCTATTTTGTCTTTGCTTTTGTCTAATCTGCCCTGCCAGGTCACTGACCTTCTCCTGGTGTTTTACAAACCTTGTACTTAATAGATGTTTGCTGAGTAAATAGACAAATTAAAAATAAAAATGCAAATGAGTATGTAAAAGATACTACCCTCATTATCAGCCCCAGGAGAGTAGGGTCTCCCATAAAGCCCTTTACCTAAAATAACTTGTCTGATTTTTTCATATTAGACTTTAAAAACTGCTGTTCTTTACACATTCAACCTTCTCATCTTTGCCCTACAAGTGCCATCAAGAAACTTATCGGTTACAGTTTTTATTTTGCATGGTTGAATTTCCTCTTGCTACTCTAGGATTACTAAAGAATCCAGCACAGCCCAGGGATCCAGGGACACCTGCCTGCCACGCCCTGGTATTCCAAAAGAGCAAGATTCTGTGTGCCCTGGCCCTCTTCCACAGGGGGCTCATCCTGCATGAACCTGGAGCAATAGAATGTGGCCTATTACCCCATCTTTGAAGGATCTATCCAGGAGCTAAATATCCCTGAAAAGACTGAATCAATTATCTTTCCTATCATACTCCTCCCCTTGGAATTTCCCAGCAGCTAAACAGGACAGAATTGGCCAAGTGTATGCAGCAAAAGCCTGGATCTCAAGATCCTTTCTCATGACAGAGTGAGCACTTCCATGACCTTGTGACAGCCAGCATGGCTGCTTCCAGTCCTACTGTTTTACAGTCACGCCTGGGAGGTTGAACAAAGATTCACATTGCATTTATTCTTGGAGAATTATTAAGTCTTACAGTAACCCTCAGTGCTGTGGTTACTACATAAGTTTCCAGGTCCTTAGGCTGCTCCCTGATGTTTCAAACAGAGTTGTATGATGTGCTGACATTGTATCTAACCCACAAAACAGTGCTGAGGCCCTGAAGCAGTGTGTGACTTAGGAGAGGAGCTACCTGCAGAAAACCAAACCCCCATTAGCCTAAACAAGTAGGATATTTTCTCATCTAACAAGACATTTGTGTACTGTTACAGCTCAAAATACCATTAGGAAAAATCCTTTTTATATATTCTGCTCTAACATCCTTAAAAAGATGACAATATCACTTCATGGTTGCAAGGCAGCTGCAGAATCTATGGTTTTGCATCCTTAAATCTAGGCAGAAAGAATAAAAAAGAGTGAAGAATCATCCCTTCCAGAATTTTTAGGAAACTCCTATCTTAAGTTGCAGGCTACCTTAGTGCAAGAGAGTCTTGTAAAGAGTTCTTTTAGCTGGGCACAGGGCCAGCTTATCCATTAGGCATAGCAGGCACAGTACCTAGAGCTCACCATACTTTAAGGGACCTACAAAAATGTTTTTGATTTAATTTCTTTTAAAATCGGAAGAAAAATTAATACAATAAATATGAGTATACAATAATAAATTGTCAGGGTTGTGTTTTTGTCCATAAGTGCAATTGTAAAATATAATTTTAATTTAATTTAAATGGAGGAAGGAGGTCCATGATGGCAAAAGCATCTAAGAACTATGGAGTTATCATGCACCCCCAACTGGTAATGTCAATGTTTAGAACAAAGTCGGGGATATGATTGCTTGCATTATTTTTGGTAAAAATAAAGTGAATGTTCATAGAAGCTATAATGGTAATAGATCAAAACTGGAAATAACCCAAACGTCCATCTTTTGGGGAAGTGATAGATAAAGGTAGCGCATCCTTACAATGAAATACTACTCTGTAATGAAAAGGAATGAATCATTGATATATAGGAAAACTAGACAAATCTCGAAACAGTTATGCTGAGAGAAAGAGTTCAAACAAACTATATGCCCTGTGATCCCATTTATGTAAACCTCTAGAAAATGCAAACTAATCTCTAATGACTGAAAGTAAGTCAGTGGTTGCCTACAGAGAAGGAGTTGGGTGGAGGGAGGAATTACAAAGGGGAGGGGGATAAATTGGGGAGTGATAGATATGTTCACTCTCCTGATTGTGGTCATGGTTTTATGAGTATAATTCAATATCCAGACTTATCAGTGGTATACTTTAAATGTGTGCAGTTTATTTTACATTATTTTTACTTCAGTAAAACTGTTTTAAAACATAGAGGAGTTATAGGAACTGGATTGGTAATTAACATTTTCTACCCCAAAGTGGTGTCATGTTATTTCATCCCTTTAATATGGATATTGGTACATATAAAACAATTATAGTCTATGGGCCCCTTACTCAGAAGTTGGGTACAGATGAGGAGCCAGGTTTTCAACTGTCTTTATTTAGTGCCTCGTACATGCCTTTAACACTCTGAAACTGGGTATATAACTGGCATTCTTTGGAAGCTGAGCCAAGGTGTACACATTACGTAAAAAATACTCATTAGATCTATGACTCAGGTCCTTCCTCTTCTCTTTTTTGGTGTATATTATAAGATACTGACATCATGGTCTCTCTTTGGACCACTGACTCCAGGTCTCCACTGTGCTCCTAGTGGCTTCATAGTCTATAATGAAGTTGCTGTAGGAGTGGCTGTGTCCTGAATGTTTCACCTGCTCATGTCATCTGGTATCATCACCTGACATCGTCAGGGAGAGAGTTCTCACTGTGAGGCAGGCCTTTGGGTGTGACCTGTGTAGCTTCCTGATTCCCTACATCTCTTTATTTATGTTTACTTTTACTTTCTTTCTCTACTACTTTCCTCTCCATCCTTGATTCTTTACCACTTGCATTCTCAAGAACATACTACTTCTTACTACAGAGATGAGGTTTTTTTTTCTTATCCTGCAATGTTTGCAGTTTCTGGCTTTTTGTTTCCACCATGGTTCTTGCTGGTTTGGCTGCCGGAATGGTGGAGAGCTCCTGACTCAGTGTCTGCTAATTTGGCTGGGTCATCTCTGGCTCTGCAGGTGAGAGAAGAATGATTGGAAAGAGACTTCCATTCTGAACGGTGGTTCCATTTCTTTTAAAATATTTTAAGCCAAATATACCTTACAGCATAAGAATTTATTTTCTTAGAGAACTCCTATTTTTGTGATATTTCTATTCTATTTATATAAATTTGACTATACTTCTTATTAACATGTGAAGAAAGCAGTTCTCTCACATAAGCAAAAACACAAGGGACAAAACAAAGTATAATCTTTACCCCAATAACCAGACTAAAAGGGCATCAGATGACTGGTGCTTGTAGATACACCCACCACCCAGCACTCAGGCTAGATAACTCTGTACACAGTGAGATTTCAGAAGAAGTTTTGATTGTACCAGTTAAGACTATACATAATCCCATATTTTCTGAATGATTTTGAGAAAGGAGAAAAATGCCAAGGGAAGGAAATAAAAAGACATCAAACTCTAGAAAGACATAAAGAAACAGAAGAAAGATAAAAGAGGCAGTTGCAGATTTCAAGATGACTGGATAAAGGTACTGATGAAGTTGAAAATTTAGGAGCAAGAAAGGAGGAAAGAAGGAGGGTCAGTACTGCCCTTGCCCACAGACTTCTACCCCAAGAAAGTAAAAGAATTACACAGGAGTTTTCATATAAAGAACATTCAAACCTCATTCATAATCTTCTAAAGCTGCACTTCCTCCTTTACTGGAAAGATTCTACTGGTCTGGAAATTCCTTCTTTGAGGACAAAGGTGAAATGGTAATGTATAAAAGCACACAAAACTATGGTGTTTGGGAGGGCCAAGCCTTGGGACACAAGAACAAGGATGGAGCTCTACATCATCATAGGTAAGACTCACAAGCCAGGAGGAACGGTCAATGTTAGCAACACTACATAGTTGAGTTGCCTCAAAATATGTTTCCAATTAATTTGCAGAAATACTTAAGTGCTTTACTATAATGTCTTGCGAAGGACATGGCTCATGCAGAAGAGTTGGATGAAGACTGGAAAACTGAAATTGAGAAAGTATATGAAAACTATGGCAAAGTTGGAAAATGTGAAATGTTACAAATTCCTGGTGCATGGAAGGATACCTAATGATAGGGTTTCAATTTCTATTACCAGGCATTTGGATAGCTAAAGCAATATCTCGCCTCTTACAATGGAGATAAATCAATGTAGCATAGCAAATTAAAACTCAGGTTTTGGAATGAATATACAATAGAATATAGAATAGAGTGACTTGGAACAAATAACTAACTCTCTGAATAGCAGTGGGCTGGAAAACCAGCTCTCCAAAAGAAAAAAATAGGCTTAATTTATAGTGTTTGCTTATTTTCTTGGTATAAAGACTCCAACCATGGTTGATTTCAAACTACCAACACTTAAATAATCAGCTTTCAAAATGTAACAGTTGGCTATCCTGAGCTGGAATGACCCAGCCCTGGCCCTCTATTGTCTCTGTTTCTTCCCCCTTGAAATAGGACCAATACTGCCCCTCTTCCAGCTAGAATCAGTAAAAAAAAAAAAAAAAAAAAATCCCAGCCTTTTGCTCACTGGACGGATATCACTCCCTAGAGGTAGCCACTAGTATTTATTAGTTTCTCTGAATGCAATACCAGAATATTTTTTCCATTGAAATAAGATGCTATTTTGCAATGCTAAATTCCTTGACACAAGAAATCTTAGTAGCTTCACAACCTTTGCCTGCCCACTTATCATTGCCCATTCTACTAAGTCCTTTATTCAATGTTTTGCCAGTAAGTTGAGTATTACGCAGACCAATGACTGCCCAGGGTTTTTCCTTACTCATTAGCTGACTAATCTGTAGCCTTTCACCTTCGCCCTTCCCCTAAAGGTGATTTAAGCAGGAATCCAGCTAACAATTACTGTATTTCTATTTGCAATTAGAAAAGAAGAGGTTTTTCTTCTCTGCAAACATTTGGCTACCAAATGCCAGGAGTATCACTTATGTGCCATTTGGAAGAGTTGGTGGTCCTTTACTGTTTCCAGATGATGTATCAAATGGATCATGTGGTTTAATTTGATTCCTATTCTCAGAGAACAAAGGGTAAGCTTAGCACCTTATAGAATTGTACCTGAGGCATCTACAGAAAGCATGTACCATGTAATCTCTCCCCAAAGAGGGGGCTTTGGTGACAATACTAATGCAAGCTCTGTGACGCAGGGACAGTCTCTTGCTCAACCTTGTATCCTCATAGCACAGAGTACATCGTGTCCTTTCTAGCCCCTCATTGAATCCTGGCCCTGTTGAATTCAATTACCAATCTAAAAGAAGCTAACTTTAAGACCATTTTACATTTCCAAGATCAGTTCAGGATATTAGGTTTTCCTGGAAGTGGGGTGGGAAGGGAGATCTGACATTGTTTATGACTCTGGCTAAGAGGAATGCTAGTACTGAACTAAATAAAATATTGTCAGCATCATGTTCTCTTAGACAAAAGAATATTCCTAGAATCAATTTAGGAAAAGAAAAGAAAAGAGGGCAAAAGTGAAAACAAAAACTTTCTGAGAAGTGGAATTAAGGGACAAATCACTTTTTACATCTAATTTCTTAGTCTCTAAAATAGGAGTAATGTTACCTACTTCAGAGTAGGTTATGATGAAGGTAACTCAAGATAATGTTTGTAAAGCAATAGCATAGGGCCTCTCACATTTAATGACCCGAATACATGGTAACAGTACCTAAATTACTGTTATTGTTCCTGCTGCTGTTACTTTTACATCAGAGTGCGGTTGTCGGTATAGGTCAGGAAATCTGTGTTGTGCTTGTCATCACCATAGTGAGGCTATTAGGAGAGTAATGTTGGAAAAGGATGTGAGAAAAGCATGTATTCTTGAATGACGTGTCTTATCCCCAAATGTTCTTCTTTCATGGGGATTTTTTCTTACTAGTTTATGACTTTCAGCCACCATTAAGAAATTCTTTGGGAAAGCAATAAGCTGAGATATGATTCTTTTGCTCTCTACTAAGTCAAGAAATGTAATCTCTCATGTACCAAAGACATTTTGCAATTTTGTTAAAGTTAATTTTTACTTAGCCAATGTGATAGAATAGATTATTTTGTGTGACTTGTCCCATGTTACTGTTTCTATTAGTTACGCGATTGTGTGCAGGACTTGGAAAATGAAACACAGATTCATGGGATTCCCTTGCTGTGGGCCAGTTTGCATGCTGTGAGTGGGTGTGAGGGTGTCTTCTGAAGGGAGGAGAATTCTCTTCTGTCAGCTTTCTATCCAGGGCAGAAAATAAGTCATAGCTTGATCCTATCTTTATAAAAGAGAACACTTCCTTTTTCTTGGGACCTACATGATTTGGTGGCCTCAATAATAGCTAAAAATCAACATCAGTCCTTCAGTGCACAGAGGTTGGGTGGGCCCTTCATGGCAAAATGCAGGGAGCCTAAGGAAAGAGAGAGCCTGTGAAAAACCCTAGGAGATATCCCCTCTAGAAGCTAGTTTTGAATATTCTCTACTTGTATTTTAACTGCCTCCTCTTCTGCCCAGTACTACCACAGTCCTTTGGTAAACACTGCTGCATGGTCTTAGCTGGTACTTTAAAGAATTACCAATGCCCATATGGGAGAATCTACTGTCCATACCTAGGGAGGAAGGAAGTTATGAAATGGTAAAGGATGAAGGACTACAAGAAAAGAAATAGCAGTCCAGAGCAAGAAAGCTGGCTGGGGCTTCCAGGGATGACCAAGTAGTTTAATGGAACATAAAAGCATTCTTAAGAGAATTCTTAAAAATTTGCATAAAGGTGGTAGACAGGTAGAGAAGAATCTTGTATGACCACATCTCCACATTGCACAGAATGGAACTGTTACTGTGTTTGTTGTCTTCATTGTTTGAATTAAAAGAGAAAATTACCTAGAAAGTGGGAGAGGTTGCTGGCATTAAAGCTGAATTAACTTGGTAGGGCTACCATAACAAATACCACAGTCTGGGTGGCTTAAACAATAGACACTTATTTTCCTGCAGTTCTAGAGGCTGAGGAGTTCAAGATCAAGGTGCCGGCAGGTTTGGCTTCCCCTGAGGCCTCTTCCTTTGGCTTGCAGAGGGCCATCTTCCCGCTGTGTTCTCACACAGGGCCTTTCCTCTGTGAATGTGCATTCCTGGTGTCTCTTTCTCTTCATAAGAATATGAGATTAGGGCCCCTTCCAGGCATATGAGATTAGGGCCCCTTCTGATGGCCTTATAACCACCTCTTTAAAAACCTAATCTTCAGATATAGCCACAGTACTGGGGACTAGGGCTTCAACATATGAATTTAGAGGGATTGAGGGGTACAATTCAGCCCATAACAAGCGTTCATACAGATGTTAAAATGCATTCATGTTTCAGCTCTAAAGTCTGGAAAAATATGACATGATGGCCATCGACGTCAGGGTACCAGCCTCTTTCCTCCTTACTCTGATACTCTCCCTTGCCCTCTGCAAAGCATGGCATCATCTTTAACTGACTGCCATTCTGGAAACCCTAGGCTGTCTTCTAGATGCTAACTCTCTAGAAGATTTTAATAGAGAGACCTCCATTAAAGGTCACAGGAGTAGGGGGATGGAAAGGACTGCAGGGGCGAAATCAGGAAAGGAAGGAAATGCCTCTAGGCCCAGCATGTAAGAGCATGCTTAAGAGATGACAGGCTGTGCTGCAGGTGAATCTGCTTCCTACACTCGACTTCCCAAATACCTCTGGAGGAATCCAGTACCTCATTCAAATGCCCTCAAGGCTAAGCACTCTCACCCAGTCTCTCAACATTTCTCTGGCAGGTTTCCAGTACTTCATTCTTCCTGTTAATGGTGACAGAAAATGACACAAAGCATCCAGGATGTTGATATGCCACTTGCTTCACAGTTTACTTCAAAGTCCCCTCAGAGTTTTCTGAATTTTACTTTCTGGAACAAGAAATATTACTGGCATAAGCATCAAGTATGCAGTTAGTCTTGATGGTGAACAAGTCCTGAACTTTTGATTTGGAAGCAATCTGTCAGCAAGTAATAGCCAAGGCCCTGTAGTAATAGGCTTAGTTGGGCCAGGCTTATTTCTCTAATTCACTGATTGTCTTACATCAAAACAGCAAAAAAAAGTTTAAAAACATGATGATTTTTCTACTGACTTGTCTACTGTGACTTTTATTCTTATACTGTAATATGACCTGGCATACCGGGACTTTTATTCTTATACTGTAATATGACCTGGCATACCGGGACTTTTATTCTTATACTGTAAGAACCTGGCATTACCCCGGGTTCTCCTTTAGTCTCCTTGGTTGAGGATGGCACTAGGGAGATCTATTTAACTCATCAAATCATAAAAGCTAGACAGAACCATAAGAAATTGTTCTGTTAAATCTCCCTGCAAGGCTTCAATGAGGCACAACCATCAAAGTTTTCCAGGGAAGAAAGGCAGTGTTGTCTGTATATTTAGCCGTCAGAAAGGTTTTCCTGTGTCAAAGTCGCTCTCCTGCTAGTGTCTGAACTTGAATTACCTCTAAATCTTGCCAAATTCCCTGCCCCACATCCAGTCTCAGGAAGAAAGCCTGGTATTTCAATATTTTCCAACAAAATACACAAACCGAACTCCCAACATTGACCCTGGATGACCTATGAAATCCTGATTTCCAGTTTCCACAGCTAGAAGAGCCCTTAGCCTATGGCTGCTCCAGAAATCATTGTTTAATGCATGACTCATTCAGTCAGTCCTTGAAATCTGAAGATTAGTGTTGATCATGAATGTGAATTTCTGGGGAATACGCTCTGTAATTTTTTTGAAGTCCAATTGTTTTTATTATAATCTGTGAAAAATGTAGTTGCTTATTTATTTTAAGCTGTTTGCATCTCACTTTACTGTGTCTCTGATAGGTGATCAAACATACTTTGCCGTATTCCCCTTTCTGTGGTGTCCTTTTCTGCTTTCTTCCACTCAGTCTCAGCAAAGATCCCTGTTTTCAAGAACATCATCCACCTGACAATGCCCTTTGCCTCCCATCTGGCAGCTCAGCGATGGTGTCCACCAGTCCTGGCTCTGAACTGGATTATGCTGTCGGACCAAATTGCCGGTAAGGTTTGCTTAGTGACCTGTTGTTTGCAAACAAACTAAGGCATGTGATCACTTAGTGATGAATGGCTGAAGAGAAACTTGAGCTGTGCAATGTTGCCTATTGTAAGCATCGCTATCAGCCCAGAAACCTAGGGTTTCCGGGCCTAGAGTCACAGTAAAAATGCTTCAGGTGTCATCGACACAGTTGAACTGCATACCCCACCCCTGCCAAACATGGTCCACCTCAGACCCTTATTTCACAGGTGGGAAAACTGAGTCCCAGAGATACATGGTATTAATTTGCTCAAGTTTACATGGTATAGCTCATTGCCGGAAAGTTGTGTATAGAATTCAAGTCCCCTGACTTCTAGCCCAGTGTTCATTACATGATACTATATGGTCCTCAAGTACTTCTTCACCATTCTGTCCATCCCATTATGCCACCCTAGTTTCAAAACCATACCAGTCCACTCTCTGCATACCAAAATAACAGGTCCAAACACAAGCTATGCAGCCAAAAAGCCTGAGGGTATCCTCTCCTTCTAGGTCAGAAATCGTCCATGTCCTTTACCAGCCAGCCCCTGTAGCAGCTAAATGGCAGTTGGTAGCTTTGCATATTCATTCTACAGAGAACAAAGAAATACAGATGACACAGGATGTTACTGTCCTCAAATTCCTACAGTGTTTCCCTACAAACTCCAAACTCCACGGCCCCATATTAAAGATGCTCTTTAGCCTGCCCTAAACCTCCCTATTGCTTTCTCCATAATTGTTCCTTAACGTGTTCTTTCTTGTTGCTATATACTTGTCTTCTTGCACACAGAGTGCCCCTCCCACTTCTTCACCCAATTATGCTTGAAACTAACACCCACATTCTTTTTCCCAGGCCTTGCTCAAGAGTCATGCCCTTCACTGCCTCAAAAGAAATTTCTACTCTGTAGAGAAAAATGAATAAGTAACACACTTAGTGGCCACTAGAGATGGGCTCACAGCCTCCGTTTGGCCACAAGCCTTGTTCACCAGTTCCTCCTTCCCTCTTCATCTAGTACAATGCCTGGCATATAGCAGCTTAGTGAGTGAGTGTTGGGTGAATGGGAATTAATGAATGAATAAATGTGCTTTATAAGCTGTGTGTAGATGTGTATGTTTGTGTGTGGGTGAGTATGTGTATGTTTGTGTATGGGTATATGTGTGTATCTCAAAGTATTTGAAGTTTTAAAGTCAATAAAGCCACACTTCTTTTTTGTTCCTCCTCAATACGGTTCAGTAATGAAATTAACTAGAAGTAGAACTTAAGTTTCTGGTTGGCTTAAGTAAACCACATCCCTCTCCATCCTGGCTTCCTTCCTTCTTAGAAACACCAGCTTTCTGAGATTTCGGGCTTGGTATTTCACCAGTAACTTGTAAATGATTCCAGTGGCTCTGAGTCAAAGCCCCAAACTTTGGCTCCACTGCAAAGAAGGGCTTCACTGATTTGAAAGCCAAGCCATAGAAATGCTTTCTTTCCTTACAGTAGCTGATTGAAGTGTGCTCCAGAGCAGTTGGGCTGCCCATGTGCCCTGTGAACTCTGCAGGGCCAGGGTGTAGCTCCTTATGGCATAGGTACTCATGAAATGGCATCATGCCATATGCAATGGCTTAGCACAATGCATCTATACACAGGAAACTTCATAAAATATACTGGAGTCCTCATATGTGCTTTTAGTGGTTGTATAACTTAGTACAATCTTGATGGGGATAGTCTGATAAAAGGTTTGAAAACTTTAATTTTGCCTGTCCTTTTTCCTTACAATTTTACTTCTGGAGGCTCTAAAGGAGAATCCATTTCTTTGCCTCCCTACTGCAATTCCCACACATGGTCACAAAGATAATTTATGCAATTATTTTTATTGCAGAATTGTCTATTATAATGAGTGAGTTGAAATTACTTAAAACTCTCTCAATATGTACTAGTTAATTGAATTATGGTATAGTGAAAAAAAACCCAGAATACTAAGCAGACATTCAAAATGAGAGAGATGCATAAACTGGCATGAAAAATGTTCCCAATATGTTGTTCAGCTAAAAAAAAAAACAAGCTGAATGCAGTATTTCTAAAAGAATTTGACTTTTGAAATCAAAATCATGATATATGTATAATAAATTGTATATGTAAGCAGCTCTCTGGAAAATAAAGAGGTTGTCTCTTGGCTATGTGATATGGGGATGGTTTCACCTTCTCGAAACACTTGAACTTATTTTTTCCAGTTATATTTTGCCTTCATAGTTGGAAAAAAAGGGAAAAACAAATTTATTTCTGAAAAATATAGTAACAGATGCTATGTAAATTCTGAAAATAAAGGAGGTCAATCATGGGCATTTGGTAAGAAATCAAAGCACAAGGTATTCTTCTTTCAGAGGGAATTTAAAACTAAGAAGGAGCAAGCATCCTTTGTTAACCTTATCATAATCAACTGCTTTATATTTACTTTCATTTCCACAAAGTGACAGCAGTCACATAGAAATGTTTCTCAATGACGTTAGAAGGTCAAGACTCCACTGCTGTCTGTGTCTACTCTTTGCAGATGCTTCTGCAGTTTGACAATAAATTTAAGGACATCTAGAATTCACAGGGTAAGGAATGAGGGAAAAAAAGTCTTTCTGTTATTGCAGTGAATACAGGAATACAGTAATATTAAACAAAAGGATATTTTGAAAGTTTGGATTCAATTAGCTTGCTCATGGTTTAAATTTCTTTGTAAATGGTTCCATTTCTGAATTTCAGAAGGTTTTAAAATGACTTCCCTTTTCTCTTTAAGTCGCTGTATTCCAATTTTTGTTCTTCTATACTTCAGAACTGAATAAATTTGGAATTCTTCACACATGCCAATTCTTTCTGTTGAGTTTGGCCTACAAAATCGTAAGATGCAAGCAAACTTGTTTTTGTACATATGATTTCATATGTTTAAAAGTCAACATGCAAATATATGCAAAAACTCTCAAATTTTTTTAATCAGGAAAACATCTTCCTGAATTTGAAATCAGACTTTATGGGTGGTTCCGGGTACTAGGAAGTTTGGTGGCTCATGTACATGTGTGTGGGTGATGGATGGCAGACACCAACCTCACTCTATTCCTGCAGGTAGCTAAAAATCAAATACTCCAGGAAACCAAGAAGATGCAGTCAGTGGACTCCCAACAATAATTTTCCAATTGTCAGTTTTTATAAATACTTTTTCAGTGAACATAGTTTCATTTACTTGAGTCAATAATACTCCCACTAAAATGAGAGCTACAAAATTATACCATTACAGCCTGCCTGGCAATATGATGCTTCTATTACAAAATGATAAAACCTATTACCTGTTAATTCAGAATTTCAATTTAATTCAACATTCAGAAACATTGCTGTTTTTTTTTCTCTGAGTCTCATTTCTGTCACTGGCCATTTTCTCTGCATACAGTGTCTTCCGCTATAATGAGGCAAGAATTTCAAGACCTCACAAAACTCTCTGTTTAGGGTCATAATAAGAATTTACAAAAACTTTGTTCCATTTGCTTCTACTTAGAATGGCCTCCTTTTCTCCAGAGTCATAGAAATTTTATCAGCATGCTAAGCAAAGACTCCAAGCTTAAGGCAGAAAAGAAAGAAGGAATTTAAGTGGTTGGATTATAAGATATAATGGACCAGAAAATTCTAATAGGTTTGGAGTGCTACAAATATTACCCCAGCTCTAGGCAGGCCTAACCTTCCACAGTACTACCCACAGCCCCACCTCCTACACCCATGCCTTCTCACCTTCCACCCATGCACCCTCTTTTCTCATGAATGTTCCCGCCTCCTACCTTACTCACCCTCTTATCACCTGTCCACTCACCTATAAAGGTGAGCTGATTGCAGATGATTTAGGATATGAATTAAGCTATTCTGGGGATAAAATCTCAACTCACTACTTCTTGGCACATTCTAAGATACAAAGTGACCTTCCTCAGGCTAGAATGCAAACATCCCCTGTTCATCCCAGGCATCGAATGGATTGAGTCATTATGTTTCTGAGGACTGCGACCTCCTTACATTGGGGAAGTAAGCCTAGTTTTTTTTTGATGGTGAAGAATTGGGCTCCTGTTTAAATATAATCAATTCTCTTAACGATGGGCCATAAATGTCTTTTGTGAGAGAAAATAAAGAATATTGAGCTTTTGGATACAGCAGAAATTGGAGTAAAAGTAGGGAGACTCTAATGTAAAGGAAGGGAGGGGAGAATGGAGCCCTGAACCAGGCCGAGGATCTACCAAGAACAGCCCAATTCTCAAAGGATTACCAGGCAAGAGTCCTAGCGAAGGACCTCTGTGAAAAGATAATCATTTCTGTTGTTTTTGTAAAATATGTCAGTCTATACAGCTCCATGTGTATGTTTGTAATTGAACCTTAATATATACTCTAGGGGTGTTAATTAGCATATGAAACACCCTAGTCAGAAATCCACGTGTGAGCAATAGCTCCAAATATTGCTATCTATATATGGACCAGAGAGTTTTTAATTAGGGCAAAGCATATTAGCAAATACTTTTTCTCTGTTGGAATTAGATATTTCCAAGATAGATGTTTGGTCAGGAAGATTTAGGCAAATTTTTTCCCCCTGCATGAATGAGTTATAGGAAACCTAGTAGCCTAGTATCTTTGGGGGTGGTGTCTTTGATCTAGAATTCCTGGACACTTAGAAAATGATTCCCTTGCCTGATTCTACCTGAAGCCTAGCTGAGCCCAGTCAGTATTGTTGCTTTTGAATCAGCACAGACCTTTCGTGTAAAGTGTGTGTTAAGATACCAGAAAGGATGAAGAATGAGGACTCTGGCAAGTTTACAGAATGAATTGTCTTACTGTTTTGGTACCCCTTTGCTTACAAAGATTTGTAAGTGAGGGAGCACTGAGTCTGAGATTATTAGTCACTTTAATACATACAATTTTGCTTATTATAATAAGCTAGAGAATGCCTCAAAGAGGACGTATAGCTCTCATCTACTCTAGCAGTAGAAGGC